GTGTGCTCTTCCGATCTAAGCGAAGAAGCTTTTCTAGACAGGATAATTCAAGAAGAAAATCCTGAAAATTTAATTGAAGACATCATAGTTGATGCGGAACAAGAGTTCAACAATGAAGAGGGGGAGGAACAGCAAGAGTCAAACTCTGCTAGAAGAGAATCAGAATTCGACGGGGAATACACAACCGACGATACAAACTCTGATTCATCATATCAAAACGGCTTGACCAGACCCAGTACATTAATGGGAGGCATAGAAGCCGATAATAAACAAATAATATCGTCCGAGGAAGAGGACGAAAATAAAATAATAGTTGTCAGCAGCGAAAGTACAAACGAGTCAATAGACTTGAAGAAGAGGAGGAGGAACGAACGCACTTGGAAGAGACGACAAAATATCGCGGCTAAAAACAACGCATCAAGGGCGAGAGATCCCGTCGAGGTGTTTACAACTCATCGTCAAAAAGATGTGCCAGTCGTAGTAAAAAATCAGTCAAGGACCCGAGGATCAAATAGTTCGTACGAAGAAAAGAGGAGAAAGCAGGAAAAACAATCGCAATTTCAAGAACACCAGCCAGACGAGCTGTGGGACCAAATGGAATTAGCGAAAACTTTAGCCTATAAGGCTGATTCGCATGCAGAGGACAACAATAATAAACCGAATATATGGATTCGTAAACGAAACGATCCAAACAATAATAAATTTAACAACAAGTTAAATAAATCTTTCAAATCGTCGAGCGACGAAGATTTCATTACCACTTCAAAGAAGAGGAAATGGCGAGGAGTGAAGAGACACTCTGACGACCCTACATCAATAAAGATTTTAGCCAACGGCCGAAACTACAACCGAAGATCTCAAGATTCCAACAAGAGGAATGGAAATTGGCGAGGAGTCAACGGGGATTCCGACAAATCGTCACAATCAAGCTGGAGATCAAATTCTACAAAAGAAAGTAGAAAATCTAAAAGTTTCTCTCCGCAAAATGCAAATAATGCTAGGAGAAAACCAATAATTAAAGATATATCGCAATGCGATATGAAAATTAAGATACAGCCTAGAAATACTCAACCTACGGCTAGTAATAATAATAAAACAATGGTTTTCAATAACCAAATGAAGAATAAACCAGGTTTCGCAACCCAAAGAGGAGTTCTCAACAACACCGAACAGAGGAATGCATCGAACAAACCTGAAGAATTACATGAAAACTCACCGGAGCTACCAACCAATAGGAAACCCGGAAATCTAAATGACAGAATTGTCATACCCTCGACAAATATAACGAATAAACGAAGAAATAGGAAATATAATAAACAAATTTCCAATAATGATGTGAATAATAACAGTCGAGAGGATAATACATACAAAAAACAATATAAAACGCGTGCCAGAAGATTCTGGATCGCGCGTGCGCGTCAAACTGGAGGGGGAAGCAGACAAGAAGAACCTCCAGCCATTCAGACGACAGTAGCAATCGAAACGTCAGATTGTATAGATGTCAGAAATAAACAGTGGTCAAGTGACAAAAGAAATAGTAAAAAAATGTCACGTCCATACGAGGAAATAAAGAAAGAAGACAGAGCTCTTACATAAACTAAAAATAAAGTGCCAAGCGGAACGTAGCAAGCATGAAGCAGAATGCGAAAATCGTGTCCGGGTATTAAAGAGATTATTATCAAATAACCAGGAAGAAGAGCAAAAGATAGAAGATGTGCCTGATATAACGACAAGAAGTGCACACACTGTCAAAAAATTCGCAGTACGGAACAGAAACGGCGAAGAAATAAGCGAAGTCATAATATCAGTATCCACACGTAGCAAGATACCAATGGGAAGTGAGCTACGAAGTGAATTTCAAATGCTAATAAATATTACGGACGACGAGACAAAACATCAAGTAAAGATGATAGATGGAAAGGTCATCCGGAAAAAGAACATGAAGACAGATGACAAGGAAAATATGACTTCGACGTCGAGCGAACAAGAAGAAAAAATTAAAA